ACCTCCTGAGCCACAGCCACCCCCATTACCATTTTCTTTTTCCATCAGTTTCCATTGATCACTGTTATTCTATATAGTAACAGTACATATATTGCCTGTTGTTGATAGAAGTGTAGTAGATGTTTGCAGCCTGTATGATAAGTATGACTGATTTTGGGGCAGGCAGTAAGCATAGGGACACTCCTGTGAACTGCAAAAATGAGCAAGGCCAACTACCGACAACTGACTCTGAGGCATATAACGCATCCACAATCTCGTCACCTAAATCACTGCCATGAAATGTTGAAAAAAAAACAACTTCCCCCTAGGGGATCAATAAAGTATATCTTCTTCTTCTTATCTGACTGTGTGTTATCTGAATGAGTTATCTGATTGTGTATTATCTGACTAAGTTATCTGATTTTGTATTATCTGACTGTAAGTTCTCTGACTGTGACTTATCTGACTGTGACTTACCTGACTGTCCTTTTTTTTTTACTGTGAGTTATCTGACTGTGAGTGAGCAATCAGAAAAACTGTGATCTGCTTCCTTCTACAGTGAAGAGTCATGCTGATGTCTAGTGGTGACAACAGATATAACAATATTGATTCAGACATCATTAAACTGAATTCCAATAACCCTTTAAACCCCTTTAATTTATCCATTATTATTTAATTTATAATTTATATTTAATTTTAATGGGGATAATGGATGAGACGATATAGAGATATTTCAGTTTTTCTGCAGATTGAAACTAGTTTCTCTTCGTTAAAAAATCCATAAATATATTAAGAGTTGAATACAGGTCAATTATGGGATGTTGATTACTCTCCATTCCATTTTTTTTATCTGCAGTTTATTTTCAGTAAGAGAGCTGCCATGGAAACAGTTGATTGATCAGTTTTACCAGGTGTCGGTGAACGTCCTCTTCCTTTCAAATTAAGACACTAAAAATAAAGAACAAACGATGCCCTTTCATTGTTTTATTTTCTAAAATAAAACAGCCGGTGAATAAAACACACAAAGAATTATCTGATGTCCTTTAAAAACTGTTAGAAAACATTTTGTTAAAAACGTCAGTGAGTTTGATCCCTGAAATCTTTTCAATAATAAAGCTGCCGAGAAACAGAGAGTGCTGGTGACTGAGCGTGCTCAGAAGGTTGTTTACTGCTGATGAGTCTGTTGTTGTTGTTTCCTATCAGGTTGTTTGTCTGTCTGCGGCTGCGATAGGCTGCAGGGCCGCCCAGGGATCCTGCAGCATCGATGGACTGAAATATTTCTCCACTGAAGAGTCTGAAGATCCAGACTGAAAACAAACAAACAAACAAACTTTATGTCCAGTTATTTAAAAGAAATCTGTGTGACTACAAACAGACTTAAACAGGCTAAAAACCACCACATCTACCTGCTGTTACTGCTCTTATTGATTGAATAATAATTCAATAAATAAAGAAACTGCTGCAACATAAATGATTCATAACTTTGATTTAAACTAGAGTTGTTCGGATTCCGATACCAGTATCGGAAATTGCTCCATCGGTATCGGCGAGTACTGGAGTCCAGGCACCGATCCGATACCACGTAATTTATTAAATTAGTAATCTATTTACTGGTTAGCTCCGTTAAGCTCTGGTACAGTTCTTCTTC